ATTGTTTTCATGTATTCAAAATTATTTTTTTAAATATATATATATATATTCAAGTGAAAAATATTTTGAAAAATAATTATTATCACACCCCCAAATATTTTTAAATATTAGTAAAAACACATAAAAGACATGAAAATGCATTGATTTACTTGGATTTGAATAATAAAATTATTTTTCCCCTTTCATTTAATAAAATCTCACTAAGGTTTAACTAGTTTTTTTTTTTTTTGACATGACTCATTTGTTATTAGAGTAATGATCGGGGGCATCTCAATTGTTTTACATTTTTTTGCACGGTGTAATTAACTTGTTGCCCTGGAAAAAAACCATTAGCTCAGGTCTAAGAGCCTTTTAAAATTTTTACTATAATTAGCAAGGTAAATTGATTTTATTACCCCTGGATTAAAAAAAAATTAAGACTTGCCTCTGGTGGCTAATTCTTCCTTTCACTCTAGTTTTTTTATATATAATTATCATGCGATCATATAGGCAATATGGTATTTTAGTGTGTGTGGAAGTTGTTGATGCTTATGTGTCATCATGTGGGAGGTAGATGTGCACTTCTAATGACATGTGAGACACATTTCAACAGCGAAGAATGCCTTCTTGCCATGTTTTTAGAAGCGCTGCCAAGCTCTCTTGGCCTGGCACGTGTGGTGTTGGCAGGATGGTTTATTACCAATAATATTTTTTTACGTACTTTTTCTTTCTTTTCTCTTGAAAAAATTAGGTTAGTCCTCCTTTCTACTTACGTTTTAACTCTAATTTTTATTTTTTTATTTTTATTTTTGACTTTTAATTCTTTTATAAAAATTTATTTATTTCAATTTTATCATTTATTCTCGGTTGTTTATAATTTTTTTCTTCAATTTAAATCTTTTTTATTTATGAATTTTTTTACTAGCTATTTTGTTTTGTAAGCTTTCAATTTTATTATTTTATCTAAATTTATAGTATATTGTTTTTTTAATCTTACTCTTATTTTTTTTTATTAAGGTTATTTTTTTTTCAATTTCATCATTCTATTGAAAATTTGTGATTTCTGTCAAAAACAATTATTTTAATTTTTATTCTCATTATTTTGATTTTTATTTTTAATCAGTTTATATAATTTTTTATGATTTCATCATTTAATGTTTGATTTGGTAAATGTTGGGCTTCACAGTTTTTTCATATATAGTGTTTTTAGTCTAATAACTTGAGTTATAAATTTAAAAAATTAATACACATTAATATCTATTTTTATTTGTTTTATATAGAATCTTTCACTATTTAAAAGTGATTCATGTTATCTTAAATTTTTTTATTTGTCATTAGTTTTTTCATTTAACCTATTTTTTTATAAAAATAATATTTTTTTTGTTTGAATTAAATTAATTGTTGCATCACATGTCAACTTCTTGATATTTTTGTTTACTAGAATTTGGCTCTTTATTTTTTTTTATTTGGATTTTATGGGGTTATCACAATATCATTTCATATATTGTAAGTTTCGTAGATTAATCATGAGTGGTCTAAATTATTTTAGTGTGTCATTATTTTAATATTTTTTAAAAAAATATGTTATTTAATATGTTACTATCACAAATTTTTTAAATTTTTTCTTTTAATATGCATTGGTTTTTTTCAAAGTTAAAAATAAATTATTCGATCAATAGTATATTATAAAAAAAAAAATCCAGTTGTTACTGTACTTCGTTTTACCGTTGAAATGTAATAAAAATCAAATGTTTGAGTGAAAATAAATGTTATCATGTAAACATCAAAGATGTGTTGTTTTATAAGGTAATATTTAAAGTGTTAACAATGATTCTATGGCTAAAAAAGACTTAAAACACAAAAATACAGCAGTGCACGCGTAAGTTTTAATCAAATCAAGTAGTGTTTCCATCTACTCGAAAAAAATGTAATGTTTTAATTCTCTTTACCTGCCTTTAATGTTAAGGGGGTGATTTTTAAAATACTAGAGGTATTTTAGACTATAAAAAAAGAGGGAGTTTTTGTAATATTTACTTAGATACCATAGAGTTTCTATCAATTTTTTAACGGTCCATGTAATTTTATAACACATAAGGGGAGCTTTTTGTAGTATCTATTTAAACATGATTGTTCATTTTACTGGTAATGGTATCCATGTTTTCAAGTAATTTATTTTAATTCTCTATAAAAACACTCTAATTTAAGCTATTTCCTTATCAGTAATCCGAATTAAAACAGCATAGTAATAGATTATAGAATAATTAAATTATTTTACTTATAATATTCATTACCAAACAATCTAAATATTTAATATGTTTATTTTAATAGCACAAACTAACACAAGCAAAGTAGTTGTTGCTAAATATAAGAAGACATCGAGACTTAATCTTGGTAGATTCTAAGAATCATAAAAAAATATTATTTTCACCATCCATGCTAATAGCAAGCTACTTTAAAAAATCAATTTAAAAAAAAACTAGAAAATAAAATCAAAGTTTAATCATGTCAATCTTTAAAACTAGTGATTTTAGACATTAAATCAAATTTTTGAATAGAATACAAACTTGACAAAATACAAAGTAAAATTATCAATAATCTAAAATTAAAAAAACCAATAGTAATACAAGAAATAAGAATAAAATATGGTATAAAAAATAAATAAAATTAAAAATAGACAACAAAATTAAAAAATAAAATAAACATATAAAAAACAAAATATTATAATTAAAAAAATGATGATTAAATCTATAATAAAAATAAAATATTAAAGGATAAAGTTAAAAAATAAAATAAATTAAGAAAAAGATAAAAGCAAAAAAAAACAGTGATTAAGATAACAATAATAAAATATGATAGGTGAATTAAAGAGTAAAAAAATAATTTTATAGATTATTTTACATAAAATAAATAATAATTAAAATAATATATATCAAATTTAGATAAAAAAAAAAAATTAAAGCGTTGCCTTAAGAAACCAAAGGCTCGAGTGAAAAAACAAGATGAAAATAAAAAAATTAAAAGGAAAAAAAATGACACTGGCACTAAACTGAAGATTCATTGGCTATGTGTGTTGCGTATAATAGAGATGGTATTAGGGAGATTCGAATGCTGCTTAGAAAATCATTGTTATGGTAGTGAAAGATGCCTTGTACACAATCCAGGTGGTATGATTATCTCTCATTCATTAACGCTTGTATTTCATGGACCAACTATTTTTTATTTTTAAATAATATTTTATATTTATTAAAATATTAAATTATATCAACTTGATTATATAAAAAAAACAGATAAAAAATATTAAAAATCCTTAAAAACAAGCTTAATAGTTTTTATTTTTAAAAGTAATGCAATAATTTTATCATGCTTGAAGAAAAAAAAAAGAGACAAAGAAGCCCATCAACCAAAGTTTAATAGTTTTTTTTTTTTTTAAGAATAATTATGTAATTTTAACATGTAAACAACCTGGAAAGATTGATTTGTCTCATTCAATTCATTAGAGGTCGCATTTGGTTCTTATTTTGGGATAGAAAAGACGAGAATAGTGAAAAAAAAGAGATTAAAAAGATAAAAATAAAAATAAAAAAATAAATATGCCTCTAATATAATTTTAAAGTGAATTTTTTTATTTTCAAAACATAAGATATCAAGAAACAATATATTTTTTATTTCTAAAATATCATTATAAAAAATTCTTGATTTTATAATTTTTAAACTAAAATATACAATAATAAAAATAGTTATTATAATAGTTTTAAAATCCAGCCTAGAAGTTGATCCGAGATAAAGCTCGAGTCATAGATTGAGTAAACTCAAATTGATCAAAATCAATATAAAAATAAAAATAATTATTATTGTAATTTAAAAATTCAACTTGAGGGTTAATCTGAGGCAAGGTCGGGTCACATGTGAAGTTGATTGTTGACCAATATCAACATAATAATAAAAATAACTATTATTATAATTTTAAAACCAATTCAATGGTTAACCCATGGTGAACTCATTGTCATGTATTCAAAGAGTTAACATAAGAATAAAAATATTTATTATTATATTTTTAAAATCAGATTCAAGGATTAATCAAAGACAAGACTCAAGCTACAGATTAGAAGAGTTAATATGAGTTTACTCGGGTCAGTATAAAAATAATTTTTTTTTATTGTCATAATTTTAAAACTCAACCTAAGGGTTAACTAGAGCAAGGTTTGGGTTACGGGCTGGGTAAGTCAAACCGAGTTAATCTAAATCAACATATATATAAAATAATTATTATAATAGTTTTAAAACCTGGTTTTAGAGTCATCCTAGGACAAGAGTCAGGTTAAGGACCAGGAAGGTCAACCCAATTGATCTATTTTTTTCAATGAAGCACATTTTTTAACCATTTTTTTTCAAAAAAAAACAAATTTTTTAACCCATGATTTATCCCAAATTGAATTTGGTTTTTAATAAATTCAAACTGAGTTAATTATTTTTTTAGTTTTTTTTTTTAAATTCAAATAAATTTAGGTTTTGAATCGACCTGATTCTCAGTCAACTTAATTTTCAATCAACCTATTAAACCAATCATGATTTTATAGTTATAATTATTATAATATCTTTAATTTCAATATTTGATATGAATTAAAGTTAAAAAATAAAAATAATTATTTTTTAAATGTATAAATTTGATAATAATATATATTAATGATAAAATAATTTTTTTAATATTTTATTTTATTTTATTAGCTATAATTAAACATAATATATAAATAATTATTTTATTCTAGTGCGCTGGTATCGATCACAATTATGTTGCTATCTTATTTTTTTATCCTGTCTTCAATATTTTCACTATTTTCATTTTTTTATTTTGAAATAATAATTAAATATTATTATTATAATAACTAATAAATCATATGTAAAAGATGATATTACCCGAATAGAGAAAAGTAAAATAATTATTTTTTTCACTTAAATTGTGAAATGCCAAGGATTTCTTCTTTTAAATTTAATTTAATTTAACAGAAGAAAAAGTTCCCCTCTCGCGCAACGCCCACTTCTTGTCTAGCTTTCTAGTTTCTACAGGAGGGCAGAATAAAGCAGTCTCTTGTTTCAGCCTCTCTAAACTCGAAAAAAACCTAAAGACCCAATTACCACGCCATGTCTCAGGTTCTTCTTTTCTTTTTTCTTTTTTCTTTCTTTCGATTGCTCACGCATCAATTGAAAGATTACTAGTTTTTTTTTTCCTCTAATTTTTTGTTTCTGCGCTGAACTCCAATGGATCTAATTTTTTTTGTTATTGTTTTCGTAAATTGCAATTTTTCCAAAGATTACTTAATTTTGAGAAATTGGATTTACAGTTTTAGATATATCGAGTTGGATTCCATTTAAATTGCGAATTGCCGTATGGAATTTTGTAATTTTTTCAATCTGATATGTTTAGTGGTTTTTGACTGTTATTTTTTTATTCTTCAGGTGGACAACAGAAATTCATCAGCAGCGAAGCGTGCAAGAACTGATGGTACGGAATTCTTATTAATCACTATTTTTTCTTTCAAGAAAGTGTTTCTTTTAACTTTTCTAAGATTTGCGACTTTATGCATATTAATTGAAAACACGTGCGACAGGGCATATCCATCAAGTAGAATGATTGCATTTTCATGCCTAATTCGGACAACTGGTTTTGCTTTTGGTTATGGAGTTGGAATTGAGTTGTGTTCGTTGCCGTGTAGGTAGTCGCAGGGAGGATGATTGGACTTGTCCAAGCTGTGGCAATGTCAACTTTTCATTTAGGACTACTTGTAACATGCGTAATTGTACCCAACCTAGGCCAGCTGATCATATTTCGGTGAGTCATAATTGCAGTGACCTGTTTTACTTGTTATAGAGTGTTGCTGGTGTGTTGATGGGTATTTACTTGTTATGAAATTGGGTATAGGTGGAATTACTGGTAATTTCAGGAACCGAACATGATAGACTTACACAAGGCTGTCTGTAGCCAGTTGTCAGTGTCAAAACTATTAGCCACCTGAGCTAAAAGATAGGGTGGGATAGGATTAATCTATGCTTGTTCAGCCTTCATCGTGACACACTGTTTTGTTATGGTGTTTGACCTTTCCTGTTGTTTGTGTTGGATTCTAATCTATATATTTGCTCTTTTTTTCCTTGATGCCAGAAATCTGCTGCCAAGCCCCTGCAAGCACCGCAGGGTTATTCATCAGCTCCTTATTTAGGTTCTGGTGCACCTTCTTCAATGTATATGGGTGTGCCACCATATGGTTCTTCTCTCTTCAACGGGTCATCTATTCCTCCATACGACGTTCCATTCACTGGGGGCTCGGCTTATCATTACAATTATGGCAGCCGCCTTTCCGGTGGCAGTCCATATAGACCGTTGCATATTTCAGGACCACCTCCTTATTCTGGTGGATCTATGATGGGAAATGGTATGTTATTGTGTTTTTCTTTTTAAAAATAAAACTGTCATCAGGCTTGTGTTTTTGTTTCTTCAGTTTTCCCTATTTAATAAATAGACTTTTTTTCCCTATTTGTTATCAATGGTTCTTTCACGATCCCTTGTTTGTTTTCCTGGTTTTTATGTATCATAGTGTACATGATCTGTCCTTATATTTGATAAATTGAACTTCTGGTGTCTTTTCTTTCTAAGCACTGTTTGTTTCTAATCAGTGGTCTATTTAGATGCACTTTATTGCAGGTTATTAATGTATGTACTTCGAATAATTTCAGTTGCATTTATGAAGTAATGTTTTTTATTTTCTGCAGGTGGGATGTATGCAATGCCCCCCCTAATGGACCGGTATGGATTAGGTATGCCAATGGGCCCTGCAGCTATGGTACGTTAGTAATTATTCTTACTAATTCGCTAAGTTGTGGAATTTAGGAAACATGACTAGGGGTTTAAAACAGTGATTTACATTATGCTTAATTGGTTTCTGAGATGCCTTGCTTCATGTCAAAATTTGTGTGCATAAATGCAAAAAATACTCCTGTGTATATGCGATTCTTTGAATTTTTAGGGGCTTATATAGTTTGTTTTCATGTATTCATATAACTTGATAGTTCATGTTTAAGCATATTACGTTCACTTTATTTATATGCCAATTGGTGAGCATTTTGTGTCTATGTATGTAGATAGCAATGCTAATAAATAAAAATGTAAACTCATAGTTCATTATGTTTTTAAGAGAGAATGCAATTTATGTATTTTTAGATTCTAGCAATCTTCTTTTATGGATATGTGCTTGATTCATTCGTGCATGCTGTTTCTTACAGGGGCCAAGGCCAGGTTTTTTCCCAGATGATATATCTCAGAAGAAGGGTTCAGGTTTGTCATTACTACGATGTGTATGAGCAACAACGTGAAACTTCTTTGTTCTTCAACCTTTGTTTCTTATAATGCCACTGTAGATGCATCACGTGATAATGACTGGACATGCCCGAAATGTGGGAACATCAACTTTTCTTTTAGAACTGTTTGTAACATGAGGAAGTGCAATACTCCAAAGCCAGGGTCCCAGGTCTGTGCTACTTTCTTCTTAAATACAGAAGAATCAGTCAATTATTTTCGTGCTTGGTGGCCTTTCTTTTTTCTCATTTCTTTGTACTATTTGGGACACTGAACTTGGGATAAGCTTGAAAATTACTGGGAATTCTAAATTATTGGTTTAGTTTGTAGTTTTTTCTAGTAATGGTAATTTCTAGTTTATTATTTTGTTTAATAATGGTAAGTTGTCTAATATTCAATATTTTCTTGCCATTGTAGGTTGCAAAGTCTGACAAAAATTCCAGTAAGTCCTTTTAAATCCCGCACGTGGTGAGCTTCATATTCTGAATTGATACTAACAAGCTTCTTGCCTTTCAGAACAAAAAATGCCGGAGGGAAGCTGGAAGTGTGAAAAATGCAACAACATAAACTATCCATTCCGGACAAAGTGCAATAGACAAAATTGTGGGGCTGAGAAACCAGCTGAGTCAAAGAAGTCCCCTTCGCCGGCACCTGATGAGGATGATCAGGTTTGTTATGTGATTCATCTTCATTGTATTTCCATTCATTGTTTGAAACTGATTTGCTCATCAATAACATATGTACTCTTCACAAATTCAATGATCATCAGTGAGAAGGATGTTTGGCCTCTTTCTCCCTCCTCCCCCTTATTTCTCCCTCCTCCCCCTCATTTCTCCCTCCTCCCCCATTCATCTCTTTCTATGTAGTTCTTGCTATGTACCTCATTAATTGTCAATTATCTTTCTCTCTGCAACCATTGATTTGCAATTGTCTACTGTTCCAGTGAGTACTAGGACATGTTTGAGGGTTGAGAAGGTCCAGAGTTGTCGTCCAGCTTTGCTCAATATGGGTGTCTGAAAGTCAGTCTTGTTGTCCTCATGTTGCAGCGGTTGTCGAGTTACTATACCTTCTCATGATGTCTGTCAAGTTGTATTACTAGCAATGGTATTGTGGTCTACTGGTCTTTATGGATCCTTTGATGCATAGCTTAATCTGGTTAAGATTCTACAGGTTGGTTATGGTTTCTATTAGTTAGGCATTTATGCTTTTGGAATCATTCATATATTCCAGTGGGATGATACCATGAATTTAGAATACTTCAGCCTGCATATTTCTTACTCATTTGATGAAATTGTGTCTATGCCATTGAAATTTCTTTGTTTCAGCAGATGCTTCTGTTTGAAGCGTCTGTGTTTTCCATGGTGATAACTTAATTAGGTCTCTACCAGTCGTATAGTTAAGTAGTTCCAATCCATGCAATATTCCTTCCCTATTTGTTGTGCTAAGGCTATCAGGACCATGTTTGAACCTGTTGGAAGCCTGTCTATTTAACATGCTTTGTTTGACTACCTAACAGGCTGTTTGGAACCCTTGGAATTGAATTCAATTTCAAGGGTTAAATCAATTCCTTAGTTTGGAACCCTTTTGAGGGTATTGATTTGAATACCAAATGAAATTCAATTGTTAAAAAATGACCAAAAGAAACTAAGAGGGGACCCTCTGATTTGCTACCGTAATCAATTGACATTAAAAACAACATTCCAAAAATACCCTGAACAGCACAAATCCTATTTCTTACAGACCCCCGTCTCTTTCCTTCTCTCCTTTTCTAACCCCCACCATCTCTTCTTACACCTTGCAGATAAGAGAGATTCAAATCTTATAAATAAATGTAAGCTCGAAGCAAACAGGTCATAGAGTGGCCACAAAACTAGAATAATAGCATTGTGTGTCTCTGGACTCACTTCTCATCTCAACTACTACTTATCCCTTTTCTTCTTTTGGTAAGTAAATGGTCTCTTCCTCTTTCTCCGTGTCCTCTGGAATTTTGGTTTTTCTTTATGGTAAGTATTGGTTTTTCTAACCCCATACTTTGAATGGGTGGATCTGTTTTCTGTGATAAACATAGCCTAACTTTGATTCCTTTCTAGAAAAAAAAAGGGAGAGAATTCAGTGGAAGCTTCTGTAACGTGGGATAAATGTACCGGAGTCTTGATAGACTAGAAAATTAACATAAAGATGATAAATGTACCTAGTTAAAAAGTGGTAAATATAAGCGTTCTTGTAACCAAAAAAAGAAATTTTTTTGGTAATAAAAAGAAATGATTTTAAGGGCAAAAAAGCCAAGATAGTTAATTCAATTAATTTCCATAGGCACAATCGAATTCAATCATGTGTGTTAGTATTTTATAACAGCTTATCAATTGAATTCAATTCATACATGGAATTGAATTCAATTTTACACATGATTTTGTTCCAAATAGCCAATAAAATTTAGACGAGGTTGAGGTTCATGGATGGAAATTATATCTGCATTAGCGTAGGTGCATAACTTTGTTTATCCCTCATTAGCTTCGATTTCTTCTTTCATTAGTGTGCTCATATTCTTATCCCTTTTTGATCTATCCAAAGAGACATTTTGTTTCTGGAATTGCTCCTATGGTATGGGGTTGGACCACTTTAGAGGGACCGTGTTCTCGTGTTTGATGCCATCACTGGTAGCCAATCTCATTGTGGTGTGGATGGATGCACGATTCCATCTTGTGTTTACTGTCATTCTAGGCTGGTTGGTGATCCGGAAGGACTGTTCTTTAAACTCTTGTGATACCCTAAACTTCCAGAAATCCAGTCATTCGTTATGAATTCAAGGACAGGCCTGAAAAGAAAGGTTTTTAATCCACGATGCTTCTGAGGGGAGGGATATTGGGACTCCAACTATTGGTTGTTGGCCCCCAAGCTCCTCACGATTGGTCCAAACCTCAGTTGGGTGATTTGTGCGGCATGCTTGTGTAAGTGAGGGGTTTGCAAAAATCCATCCATTTTGCCAGTAGATGCCCTCAACTGATTTCGCATTCCATTCTAATCGTGGGATTGTTTTAGGAGAAAGAAGGCGAAGTTCTATCTGATGATATTGACGATGCAATTTCCTGCACTCTGACAATAGCTTAAGGTGAATTTCACTATCGTGTGCTGTTACTTAAACATTAAAATGGAAAGGGGTGGTAAGAATTAAAGAAATAATGTAGGCTTTATTTTTCACCAGATAGCATCAATAAAAGGTACGTCATGACGCGACAAGAATCCATTCCATGAGATGCCTGCTTGTGGTAAAAGGCAAGGGCTTGGAAACATTGCTTTCAAGTTTAAGTAAAGACCAAGCTTTGTGACATACACGTGCCCGCGCAAGTGGGTGATTGTTACCCTAACTTCAAAGCATGGGTGATCCCACTTTTTCGCTACAAGCCAAGCTCTTCATTGATGGAAGGAAAAAACCATCCCAGCGCGGTCACAAATGTCTCTTCAAATTGGACCTGTTGCAATTTCAATGAAACATTTTTCATTTCTTTCTAAAATTATTTTTCAATAAGAAGGTAGAATAACGTATTAGTAAGTAATGGCTTTTCTGAATGGAGAAATAAGAACTTTGGTTGGATTGTCTTCGACTTTGAGTGAATTCAAAACATTGAATAATACCCATCGGAAAAAAGAAAGTTTTTATTTTAGTTTGGAGACGCTTTCATTTTTTTATATATAAATCTTTTCAAACAGAAATAAAAGAGAGAGAAAGGAAAGCTCTCTACAAGTAAAGACGATCCAAATTGTCATGATACATGACAATTAGGCTTGCTTTGCTCTTTACAGTCCTGAATGGAAGGTACATGCCCAAGAACAAAAGCAATTTGACCACAACTCAAGCTCGACGCAGGAAGGGCTATGTTTTTTCGCTAGCCAATTATTATCCAATGACATCATATGTATAATTGTTGATAATGGCGAATATATGGTTAGCCTGTCAAGACAAGGAGATGATTGCATGGAGGGGAAAAACATTACCTTCATCATAAACTATGATAGGTTATCAAATGCCCCGAAAAATAATCAGTCAGCAACCAGCACTTGTAAACTAGCAGAATAGACACCATTCAGTAATGACACCAAATTTTCAAACAGCTCAAGCTCATGGTTCACATCAGAGCCATAAAAGGGCTGACAGATTATTCAGACCTGCATTTACGTACTACTATTTTCAGTATATTACAGTACAAGAGAAGCTAAGACGAGCTTTGCCGTGGGCATCGAATGGAAGGAACAAGAAAATTGATAGCTCAGATCCCTAGGTTTTCAAAAGATGCTTCAAAAGTTGCAATATTAAGTTCTAGGTTCCTAGAAATTTAATAACAGATACAGGTAACTTTCAAATCAGTGATCCATCATTAACCAGTCCAAATGGTGTTTTAGGAGAACTTCGAATCACCATGATCTGAATCCTAACAGTATGCTCCAGGATGGTCCAGTGCCTGAAGAATATGGAAAATACTAGTCAGATAGCTACAGGTACTGAAAAAATTCTGCAGCAATATGATAACTTTACCATAACTACAAGTTATATAACCCCTAACATCAGTATCCACTAATTGTCTACAAACAAACTAATTTCAAGGACTCGGGGCAATCTCACACTTGAGAGTTAGTGGGGAGTAAGAATATGTGATGCCCAGCGCTTGCAACATGCAGGGCATCATTTGGAGTTAGAAAGTGTAATTTATCCCCACATTGAATGATTTCAATTATCTTCCACCAATGCAGATACTGTAATATAACTTCTATATCTAAGATTGCGGAAAGGTTTCAAGGTCTGACTACCACATGATTACTGTAAATTTAAGTTGCAGTGAGCACAAGAAAGTATTGTGCATCTAAGCTAAATGTCAAACCAGATACTGACCTTCACTTAATTTGTTAAGATGAAAATGATAAATCGCTTCAGCAGTAAGTTCATCTGGATGGAATTGAAGTCATCCCCCTTTGATGTTCTTAACAACTGAAACTCTTGAAAGTAACTGCTACCATCAGTGTGACGTCAAGGTATGCACTTGAGAGTCAGTTGATGGTTGCTCAGTCCTCCAATACTCTGATGAGGCAAGTGGTGAGTTTTGGGGTATAACTTGCAGCACAGACTGAGTGGTGTGATTTGTATGCATGGGTTGTTCAAATGAAATAGATTGCGGCTCACGTGAACCCCATGAATTGTTTGACAGAAGAGAGAGAGCACGAAGACATTCTGGTGCCGCTTCCACTTTGGAAGGAATGATGTATTCTTCCAAACCTGCAGGGTTCACATTCCAAATAATTTCAAGCATCAAATTTTAGAACGAGGAGAATCACTCCAGGCCAAAAAAGAAAAAAAGAAAAAAAGAAAACCCTAGCACAATAGTTCTTATCTCTGCTCATGAGGATCTGCTCTATTAATTGTCTCCATAAAAAGCAATGCTTCCAAATTCATCCTTCATCCATATGACTTTTAAAACAATCAGTGTTAACCATCTACACATTCTTAAGCTTCTTCTATGCTCATTAGGATCCCCGGACTTGCACCAATCAACAAGGACACAAAACACGTTCACTGTCCACTCAGACCACCAAGTCATACATCTATGATTTCCAAAATTAAGCAAAGCTATGCTTAAATACAGAAAGAAATAATTCTTGAAAACCACCAGGAAGTACAAGTGTCCCTTTTTTTCTTTTTTCTTTTTTTCTATAAGAGATATAGGCTTTGTCACATTTATTTGCATTCATCATTGCCAAAATCAGTGGTATGTCTGCCAAAGATTAGATTTTGCACCCCATTTATCACACTGCCGAATTATTCTCAAATATATCATGTGATATCTATCATCCATGTATCTCCAAAATTAGCAATACTTTCTGTTATTTTTAGAAATATCATGGTACTTCGACTCTTGAATGAGGCTCCAACCTCATATATGCCATGTTAAGATAATTTTAAACCACCAGAGCAACCAATATTTTGATTATGCTGCGATTTTATACATACCTAATTACCTATTACATGTAAATTTGATATATATATATATATATAGCTTTGGATTCATGTACCAGTACTAAAAGAAAAGTAAACAACAAAAGAACAAACGAGGCTCGAGGCCATGTGGACAAATCCTAAACTTCAGTGAATCAGAGACACCAAGTGTAGCGACCATTGATAGCTATTATAATTAGCTTCATTGAGACTAAAAGAAACAAATTGAATCAATTATTTTGATAAAAAAATCATGTCCATTTCAAAGCATCAATTAATTTGATAAAGAAATCATGCTCATTTCATATCAAATAGCATAGTGCAATCTGAAGAACAGAATATGTTCCACAATGCTTAATTAAGTCCAATACATATT